GCCCACACTTATTAGGAGAAGGTCCACCGGGAGCCAAGAAGGGCTGCTCTTCGACCCCTCCCGCAGACCAGGGAGGCCCCTTCCCCCACTCACAGCCACGATCGTCTTCATGGCCTCCAGCTTGAGGGAGTCTTTGTTGGTGTCCAACATCTCCTTCAGGTCATCATGCCTGGGGGTGGAGAAGGCACAGGGGGTCAGCGGAGGGTACGAGGGTGGGGCTGGGGGTATCCACCGGGAGGATACAGGCAGAAAGAGGGGACACAGGCAGGGGACTTGGGGTCAGGAGAAATGCGGGCCAGCCTGTGGTATGGGTTGAACTGGGTCCTCCTCAAAAAAGATATATCGAAGGCCTCACCGCTAGGACTCCAGAATGTGACCCTATTTGGAAATAGGGTCGCTGCAGTTGTAATTCGTTAGGATGACGTCACACTGGGGTAGGGAGGGCCCCTAATCCCGTCCGTCGGGTGTTCTGGTAAGAAGACAGCCGCGTGAAGAGACAGAGACGCAGGGAGAATGCCATGTGAAGACGGAGCATTGGAGTGATCCATGAAAGATTGCCAGGAAACTACCAGAAGCTAGGAAGGGGCGAGGAAGGATCCTCCTACAGGTTTCAGAGGGAGCACGGCCCTGCAGGCACCTTGATTTCAGACTTCCGGCCTCCAGATCTGTGAGACCGTAAAGTTTTGTTGTTCTAAACCATGCACTTGGCAGTACTTTGTTACAGCAGGCCCTAGGACACCCATACAGCCAGTGACCCAGAGCCAGAAGACAAGAGGAAGAGTTCGGGGTGGGAAAGGTGTGGACTCCGCCCAGAGAATGGCCAGTTGGGTAGATGGGAAGGATCTGGAGCCAGTGCAAAGGAGGCGGTGTCAGAACAACAGCAGGGTGCCCTTGCCCTTGCCCCACGAGTGTGTTCCCAGGCCCCGACTCCAGGACTGGACTGGACGGGTCCCGGTCACTCCAGAATCTGTTGAGATGGTCTCCCAACAAAAGCCAGACCCGTCACTTAACATTCAACAGTGATTACAGGAAGTGAAGAAACCCTAATGGGAGAAATAAATGAAGATCTGAACAAATGTCCCCTTGCACGTGGCTGAAGGGAATACAGGTAATCCTCAGGCCAATACACAAATTTCATGCAATGTCCATTGAAATTTCAGTGAAGGCACTTGGTCAAACCTCCTCAAATGGCAGCAAAAACCCCAAAGAATAGTTTGGGGAAAGAAGAGAACAAGGCCACAGTGACAGACAACACACCCTCCTGAAATTCAAAATACAAAACAACATGACAGTGACCAAAAGCCCCGTGGTACCAGGTTAAAAGATAGAAAGTCAGGGGCGCCTGGGTGGCGCAGTCGGTTAAGCGTCCGACTTCAGCCAGGTCACGATCTCGCGGTCCGGGAGTTCGAGCCCCGCGTCAGGCTCTGGGCTGATGGCTCAGAGCCTGGAGCCTGTTTCCGATTCTGTGTCTCCCTCTCTCTCTGCCCCTCCCCCGTTCATGCTCTGTCTCTCTCTGTCCCAAAAATAAATAAACGTTTGAAAAGAAAAAAAAAAAAATTAAAAAAAAAAAAAAAGAAAGTCAAAGGTCATATGGGACAAGTTCACAAATGGATCTAAATGGATACATTAGGAACAAGAACTCACCAATGGAAGGGAGAACCATTTTTTCCTGTAAATAAACACCGCTGGGACAACTGCTATGCAGCAAAGATTTTAACTTGTACATGCATCTCACACCTAAATAAACCCTGCACCGGTTATTTTTTTTAATGTTTATTTATTTTTGAGAGAGAGAGAGAGAGAGAGAGAGAGAGAGAGAGAGCACGAGCGGGGGAGGGGCAGAGAGAGAGGGAGACTCAGAATCCGAAGCAGGCTCCAGGCTCCGAGCTGTCAGCACACAGCCCGACGCGGGGCTCGAACCCACAAACTGTGAGATCATGACCTGAGCTGAAGTCGGACGCTTAACCGACTGAGCCCCCAAGCACCCTGTTTAGTGACATTATTTTTAAATATATAAGTTATAAAGGGGAAATTTTTACATTCAAGGTCATAAAGTTATCAGTAACCAGATGGCTGGGTTCAATTTTATTTTAACTTTGGTATATAAAACTAAAAAAAATAAAATAAAATAAAAATGAAAGCAAATAAGGCGACTGTATTTGTTCCCTAGGGCTGCCGTAACAAAGTACCACAGACTGGAAGGCTTAAACGACCTATATTATTTTCACACAATTTTGGAGACTAGAAGTCTGAGGCGGTGTCAGGAGGCATGGTTTCTTCCGAGGCCTCTCTCCTGGCCTCACAGATGACTGTCTTCCTGTATCTTAAAATTTTTTTTAAATGCTTATTCATTTTTGACAGAGAGACAGAGACAGAGCACCAGCAGGGGAGGGGCAAGGAGAGGGGGAGACAGAGAACCTAAAGCAGGTTGCAGGCCCTGAGCTGTCAGCACAGAGCCCGACCGGGGGCTCGAACTCACAGACCATGAGATCATGACAGGAGCTGAAGTCAGACGCTCAACCGACTGAGCCACCCGGGCACCCCTAGCTTCCTGTATCTTCACATGGTCTCCCCTCCCGGTGTCCCCGTGTCCGAATTTCCTCTTCTTACAAGGACACCAGATTGGATTAGGATTGGGGCCCACCCTAATGACTTCATTTTAACATAACCACCGCTTTAAAGACCCCTACTCAAAATAGTCACATTCTGAAGCAGTGGGGGTTAGGACTTCAACATAGGAATTTGAAGGGGACACAATCCAGCCTATAATAGCAACAAAGAGGACATTATTTGGGATGTGGCAAATACAAGTTCAATATTCAAAATTAAGTACTGCTATCGATTTAAGATGTTTCTAGCATTCGCTGTCAGGGCTGCTGCAAGCACATCCACCATCTGCTTGTCCCTCCAGGTGGACACAGCCCTGAGCTGTTGCTCCCCATTCAGTGAGCGGAGTATAGTCTGCTATTCCTCGGCCAGGTGCCCTTGCGCAATGAACAACCTGCCCAACCATACTCAGAGGTGCAGGGGCTGGTGGTCAAAGAAGCGAACAGAGAACTGTGAATGAGCCCGTGGAAAAATGTGTCTATCCGCAGCCCAGAGAGCTGTGGGACAAGGGATACACTCATGTGTTGCCAAGACAGTTCCAAAATGTGGTGAGCAGCTGTGTGTGCAGTCCTGCACGGTTCTCCCATTTCCCAGATGATACTTGGATAACCCACAACTTTTGGCCCAGGCAGGAGAACCCAGTCTAGAAAGGTATCACTGACGGTAGAAATTGAAAAGCAGTGAAACGTTTAGGGGCGCCCGGGTGGCTCTGTCGGTTAAGCGCCCAAATTTGGCTCAGGTATGATCTCACGGTTTGTGGGTTCGAGCCCCACGTCGGGCTCTGTGCTGACAGCTTGCAGCCTGGAGCCCGCTTCGGATTCTGTGTCTCCCTCTCTCTCCGCCCCTCCCCCACTCACACTCTGTCTCTCTCTGTCTCTCAAAAATGAATAAACGTTAAAAAATTTTAAAAAAAGAAAAAGAAAAAGGCAGCGAAACATTTAGAAACAACAGACGGCCAGAAATCGGAAGGAGCAGTGTCAGCAGGGAAGAGAAGAGAGTCACACAGGCAAACGTGACTGTGTGGCTGACGTGGAGAGACGAGTAAGCGGCAGAGGCTAAGAGGAGGAGAACGCGGAACGGCACACGCCTATTCCTAGGGCTGCATTTTGCAGATGCCTGAGTGCCTAACACACACTCAGAAGGGACGGAAGGGCTGCTAAGAAACGGAGGTGCCAAGGGTTTTAGAAAGCGTCCTGCCCGAACAGATTTTCTGATGGAAAGCAAAGCAGAAAGATGATGCCTTCTGGAACACAGTGGACGTGCTAGCTGTTAGATGAGGGCAGAAGATGTCCAGCCCCGGTCATGCTGATCACTTGGGAGATGCCCGCAAAATCAGAGGATACTTTCCCATGGCCGAGCCGGGGCCCCGTCACTCTGCCCAACACCCACCCGGTGGCCAGTTCCTAAGGGGCGGAGCTCAGGACAGGGCAGGGTGGGCGGGGGGAACTGTCTATGGAAAGAGGTACAGACCGGTCAGCCGGGCCTGGGCGGCACTGGGGCTGCAGGAAGAATGAAAGCCGGGCACCACCACCCCCGGGCTACGACACACACCACTGCCAGGTGCCCCTACGCATACACCTCACAGTCAACTCACACTCAGGGACACTGACACACCCCAACATCCCCACCAAACGCCAGCACCATCCACACACTCCCGTACCTCCCCCGCAGACACCCCCACACCCCCACAGGGACACCTGCACCCCCGCAGACACACCCACACACCCCCAGACACGCCTGCACCTCCCAGGCACATAGGATTTGTATGTAAACCCACACACACCCACAAAAAAGCCCCTGCAGACACACGCCCACAACCTCCAGAGAAACACACACAGACACATACACCATATATTCAGACACTGTCCACATAAACCCACACAGCCATCAACACACACCTCAACTACACATCCCTACAGACACCCGCAAACACACACACATCGCCAACAAGTCCTCTCCACAGCCCCCCACGCCTTCATCTAGACATGTACACCCTGCACGAGCACCCCCCCCCCCCCAACACACACCATGTACACATACACCCTCTGGACAGAGCTGTCACTCGGTCTCATTCCCCAGTGTCTAGGGGACTCCTATTTGCGATTCTGGAGGATGAGTGTAGGCTGCTAGGATCCAATGCATATGCAGCCTCGTGGATCCTCCGACCTCCTTCTGAGGGATCAGCCTGGGGTCAGCCTGGGGTGACCTCACGGGGAGCGGCGGGAGTCTGCCCGGTCCTTTTTGACTCCGGGTGTTCTCTAAAGCAGACTTGCTCACACCTGGGTGTCCTCACCGCTCCCAGAAATGCCACAGGCCTGTGTCAAACGCACACACTCCGGGGCCTGCCCGGGGGCGCCCACGCTACCCCACCCTCCCAGCCTAGCGCATACACCCCAGGGCCCCGGGCAGAGGGGGACCAGGGGTGGAGGGGCTGTGGGTACGCAGCACGCACAGCCCAGGCTGGATTGTCAAATGCCCGTTAACGGAGCAGCTCCCTCCTGGGATGTGACCGCCCCGGGTCCCGTGTCTCCACCAGCTTGTGTGCCCAAGAGGAAGAGGAAGCGGGAGATACAGGGCAATGCTCTAAAGCCCCGAAACCTTAGCCTCCCGCGGTCAGATCTCCTTACACCGCAATCGCTCCCACCTGACCCCCCAGCCTGGCCTGAGGGACTCTGGGGGGGCGGGGAGGGTGGCCAGAGCCAGTCAGGGGGGAAAACATGGCATGGAGGCCAGACAGGCCCACCTCCCCCGATACCACGTCCCTCTCCTCACCACACGAGTCGGGTCCCAGCCCACTCGACGGGGGAGGCTGGCCAAGCCCTGTGCCTTAGCCAGTCTCCAAACCCCACTCAGAGCCCACTGGAGCCAGGACCTCGGGCAAAGTCAAGGTGGCCCTGGACCCTCAAACATTTCATTATCCTCCTCCCCAGAGAGCCCGCAGCTCCCTTAAGTTCGCCCCCCTCGTACCCTCAGCCCCCACCCGGTGCCCCTGCCACCCCCTCCAGCCTGGACCCCAACGCCAGCCCGGTCCTCCTCCAGAGCAGGTGGGACCCGAAGGACTCAGCCTGGCCTCTGGCCTTCCGGGCGTCGGGGTGAGGGTCGCTGGGAGTTCCTCTGTACCTTAGCGGCTGGCTCTGGCTCTGGCTCTGGCTCTGGCTCTCGCTCCGGCCAGGCTCCGGGCAAGACCCTTCCAGAGGCGCTTCTGGGGCCGTGTCTTCCTCCGGGGCCTGCAGCCACCGAAGCTCCTCAGGCTGCAAGGCCTGGTACCAGGGTGGGGGGCCGCCTTCGGGGCCCAGCACAGGGCTGGCAGCCTCCTGGTCAGCTCCGCAGGCCCCCCGGCCCCCCGGCCTCACCACGGCCCCCGGGAGCTGCAGGAATCGCTGCATCGGGCACCAGGTCCTGCTCCGAGATGAGACCCAGCTGACCAGGGAGCTGGGGACGCCTGTCCCTGTTACCAGACGGCCCGCCTCCCAGACTCAGTAACCGGACACTGGCAGGCTGGGAGGCTCCGGTTTCCCGTTCACTGGTTCACTGCTCAGAGACGAGGACTTGAGAGGGTGGGAAGGCAGCGACTGGGGACTGAGCTACCCCGATCTCCCACCAGGGGGTGGGGGGAGCGGGGGGGGGGGGGTGGGGGCCGTGGTCAGGGGAGCTGATCCAGACAGGGGTGAGGGACCCACTCCTCACCTCCACTCTCCGGCCGCATCTGGACCTCTGCCTCCCCAGAACCGCTCTTCCTCAGAAATCCTGCACGCCTGCTCCCCACTCGGACCGAAGCCAGAGCCAGGTCCCGGACTCCTGCCTTCCTATCAGCTTGGTCTTCCCTCTGCTTCCCCCCTCCCTGGCCCAGGCCCCCCAGGTCCATCCCTGCAGCTGCCCTCTCACTCACACCCTTGGCCTTCCGTCCGTACCGCCCCTCCCCTGCCAGGAGCAGGTGGCTTCAGACCCCCTTGACGCGCCTCAAATCCCCACCCACGGCCTGGCTCGTACCTTACCACTTGCTTCTCACAGAAAATGAGAGGCCTTAGATAACATCCCCTGCAGCTCCAGGCATCTGTGTCTCCTCTCCTCCTGCCCCCCTCCGCCCAGGCAGAGTGATCCTCCTCCAAGCCAGGCGGTGCTCCCATCACCCAGCGGCCCAGGCCCCCGTAGCTCCCTTCAGCCTCGCCCTCTCCCTCTCCGGGTTGCTGGCTCCTTCCCACCAGCAGTTAGACTTGTTCCAGCCCCTCCCACCCTCACAGTGAAAACAGATAACAACACAAATAAAATACACAAACCTTCTTGAACGAATTCTCTCCCCCAGCAACTCTTTCTCTCTCTCCCCTGTACACACTTCTTGAAAGCAAATTTCCCATCTTCCGGGTTTTATTTATTCACCTCCTATTTGCTTCTCTACTCACTCCAATCTGGCTTTCGATGCTGATTAGAACTCAGGGCTGGGGCGCCTGGGAGGCGTCCGACTCCTGATTTTGGCTCAGGTCACAATCTCATCCTCGTTCGTGGGATCGAGCCCGCATTGGGCTGACAGCACAGAGCCCGCTTGGGATTCTCTCGCTCCCCCTCTCTCTGCCCCTCCCCCACTCACTCTCTTTCTCAAAGTAAATAAATAAACTTAAAAAAAAGAAAAGAGGTGGCTCCTGGGTGGCTCAGGCGGCTGAGCGACCAGCTTCAGCTCAGGTCGTGATCTCGTGGTTGGTAAGTTCGAGCCCCGCGTCGGGCTCTGTGCTGACAGCTCGGAGCCTGGAGCCTGCTTTCGGATTCTGGGTCTCTCTCTTCCTCTGCCCCTCCCCCACTCACGCTCTGTCTCTCTTGTGCTCTCTCTCTCTCAAAAAAATAATAAGCATTAGAAAGAAAAAAATTTAAAAAAAATAAAAAGAATTTAAGGCTGAGGGGCCGCCATGATGTCTGCAAGTTACATGGTTCAGCCAAAAATCAGTATGGCTCGATGTTAGAAAAAGCAAATACAGCAGAGCGTCAACATCAGTTGGATCTAGGTGGAGGGCGTACGTATTCCTCACATTACACACTCAACTTTTCTGTATGTTTTAAGCTGTTCATGATAGAATGTTGGGGGAAAATAATCTAGCTCCTCCTCTTCTGATTTTGTCAGACTTGTCCTCCAGGACAGGAGGTGGGACCTGGAGCCAGGAGGGGTTGACCTTCTCTTTGTCAAATCAGTGGTCGCCTTCCCTTGTTTGAGTGGACATTGCTGATTGCTTCCTCCTTCTTGAAACATTTTGTTTCCCTCCAGCCTTTGGTTTACTTTTTCTCAGTAACCTTGAAACACTTCCCCCTGCATTCTGGTCATCCCTAAGGTGTCTTTAGGGTTCATACCCGTGTGCCGTCTGAACTCATTTTTTAAATTAATTAATTAATTAATTAATTTTTAATCTTTACTTTTGAGAGAAAGAGAGAGAGAGTGCACAGAAGAGGGGCAGAGAGAGAGAGGGAGACACAGAATCCAAAGCAGGCTCCAGGCTCTGAGCTGTCAGCACAGAGCCGACGCGGGGTTTGAACCCACCAACAGCTAGATCATGACCTGAGCTGAAGTCTGACACTTAGCCCACTGAGCCACCCAGGCACCCCTGAACTCATTTTATATACTCTCCCTGGGTTATCTTAACTTCCTTCTGTGGCTTTGATTAACATACATATGTTAATAATCTCTCCTGGAATCCAAATCCTAAAATCCAGCTACCTCCTAGGCTTGAATATCCCTCAGGGTTTACAATCCCAGCCTGTCAAAAGTTGGCCTCACCATTATTTTCCCGAATTTGCTTGTAACATCTTTATTTCCAATCACACTGTACAGCAACCACCATCTATCCAGTTACAAGAAATAGTAACCTGAGTATTATTCTTATCTTCTCCCCCCAGTTAATCATCAGTCTGTGACTTCTATCCCCTCAAGAGCCCTCAGATCCTCTGCCCCCACCATAGTCTAGCCCACCATCATGTCTCCTTCCCCCAACACTCAACCTCCCCTCCCCAGGCCTTGTCTCCTGCTTAAACCAGCACACCTCCAATCTCCTCTCCACAATCCAGCCTAGAATCCTTCTAAAATGCAAATCTGATATCCCCTGCTTAGAACTCCTCGCCACTTTGGCACCTTCCCACCCTCATTTCTGGTCACTCGGAGGCCTGGCGCAGCGATTTGATTCTGGCCATCCGTACTAGCACCTACAAAACCTAAAAGCTTTTCCTCTGCCTGGAACATTCCTCACTCCCCCCTCTCCCTGTTCCCCAGGGCCAGAGACCAGCTCTTCGCACCCCTCCGGCTGTCCATCCCCCAACACAGATTCTCCCTCTGGGGCAACCCTCCAGAGCAACTAGAGGGTGGGGACCGGTTCAGGTTCACGCCTGTATTCACAGTGACTGGGATGAGAATGGACACAGCAGTCCCTGAAAAATGCTTGTTTCAGGATTTACAAATAAACGAATGAACCAACGAATGAGCCAAAGGTGGAGGGGAAGAGTGGGAAGCCCAGGTGGGGTTGAAGTACAGGGGCAAAGTGGGAAGCAGGGGTGCGGCCTGGGGGTGCTAGCGTGGGGCCAGAATGAGGGACGTGGACTTGCACGAGGGGCCGGGCCGTGGAGGTTCTGGGTGCACACCCCGGGCCGGCCTTCCCGGAGAGGCCCCAAGCTGGACCTCACGGCCTCTGCCCCCTCCCGCGCGGTCCTCAGGAGCCCGCTCGCCCCGCGCGAAAAAG